GCTGAAATAACGTCTTTGAATCGCGATTGCAGTTTTATTATTCCAGACTAATCAATGTTTTATCGATTTGCTAGTTCTTGAATAGGCGTTTAGATATTTTGCACAAGCAGTAATAAACATAGCCAGTACACATTGAAGGAGATAACACTGTTGGGCCTCCTATATGAAGCTTCAACGGGGAAGAGACTCTGGGTTAAAGTAGTGTAACATGCGATTTATTAAGATATACAATTTTCAATATATACAGTGCAATAGTGTACAATATGTAATATTTAAATAATTTTGGATAGATGGGCGAAAATGCTACCATTTATATACCCGGTGCAAGATATTAAGCGTTTTAGTATCTCATAGTGGTATACTACAACGCATTTGGGAGAGAGTTGTGATATCAGAAGTTCCGCTTTTGAATCGCGAGAGAACAAACATTTATTCGCTAATCTTTTTTAAAAGTGAATCTCCTTAAATTACATCAGTCCAGTTAGTCAAACAATGCGTGACAACTCGCTCACTTGCGAATGGCATATGGCTAAGTGTTCTGGCGTGACAGCACAAGAATGAAGGAGAGGTAGAGTTAGATTCCCTGATGAAAAGGCATCTTATGGCTGCAGTTAGTTTTGTTAAACTTCATGATTAATTCTCCTAAATGGTAATCAGCACAAAGCTAAAACCCTGCTATTATACCAGGACGAAAATAAGCTGTTTCTCCAAAACTTATGTACTTTTCAATAAACTGATAGATAGTAACTGACAAACTGACGATTATGACTTGCAAATCATGTACTGTTCGGCCCTGTGGTCAATTATATGCTGTCGAGCGGGTGAAAGTGATGAGACGGTGTTCGCTTAAAATGGCAGGTAAATAATATTTGACGGCAACAAGGTTCGAAAGCTCAAAGGTAATTAATGCAAAATGTGTGAATGGTTTATAGAGCCCTTCATCTCCTTTTGACATTGACTCTCGTGCGACGACGGCTCTCATAAACGCTGACCTCATCTAGTTAGTCACCCACACTTTGGCTGACTTTCTGTAAATCAACTGCTTTGCTTGTCGTGCCCGATTTGTAGTTGAAGATGTCTGCTGTGTTAGTGTAATCAGTAAATCGGTCATTCACGTCTGATTGCCGCTGTCGTTCAGGGCTGCGCAGGGTACTACATCAGGCAGTGTCTCCACCGTCGTCAGTGCGGCACCAGCATTTGAGCTTCGGCAAGGGACAGGTAGAGTCTGCAGCAGATTTCGACAAGGTACTTGTCAGAGGTGATTCTTGGCCATCCTGGATTTCTTCCGCAGGTCGTTTGAGCAGTTAGATGCTGTTTCGGCTTTTTTTCTGAAATCATTCGCCAAACATGCACAAACCATCGCAGTTGTTGCTGTCAGCATCATAATTTGGCTAATTTCCAGTTTTGTAACTTGTCCGTTTGTTATTAGTTAACAAATTATTCTCATTTATTGATATTATTAGGCGACGTGGTAAATATAAGCCACTCTATTTGGACGCTGAATGCGTTCGGATTACC